TGATCGTCATTTTTAGAGGGTTTCGTGGTTTGAAAAAACTCGGTTTAAAAGAATGGAATGACATTTTTGCTTTTGTCCTGGGGCCAAAAAAAAAACAACGGCTTTGAAATATTTCTTCCTCAACAAGATCCGCATTAATGGGATTCCAATATTTCATTTACTGATCGAATTAATAAGGTTCATTAATATTTTAAGATACTTGGTAGTTCAAATACTTGGCTGGAAATTTCAGTTACGGTCGAAATTCGAGACAAGTTGAGAAATTCGAGTTAGAAAAGGTTTCGAATTTGGGAGAAAAGCAGTTTTTATTGGAGGTAAGAAAGAAAAACCGGAGGACATTTTGATTGGTGATTTTCTTGCCATGTTTTTTTTAATGAGTTGACAAAATATTGAAATTGGAGGCCAAAGTTGATTTGCCCAATTAATCTTCCACTTCCTTTCAAAGCACATCAAGTTAAGTTTTTTATTGCTTTTGTTATCCTAATTTGCCAAGAGAATTATCTAAAGACACTTTTGAGCTAGGAAGAACATCTTCTTCCAAAGATCAATTAATCTGAAGAATGTAAACTCTTTGAGGATAATCTTTTAATGAGAAGATTTAGTTCTTATGGCTGGGGTTGAAGTAAAACACAACTTCTCAATTTAGAGTAGCAATACCTATATTCTGTGCAACATCAGCTAACGCCAGACAAACAATGAATACCTGTACATACGTGTGCAGACCCTTTATAGATTTGACAGAAATTAAATGGGGACACCACAAGAGGGGACAAGGGAAATGACTGCAAACCAGACAGTGTACCAGGTGCACAATGACCTTGTCTGCTTTGGGGCAGCAAGTTGCAAAGCAAGGGTTGCTTTACATTCAGGAATGTTGGGTAGAAAAGAGGCAGTATTGTCCATATATTGTGGGACATGAGAAAAACAATTTGGTCACACTTTTCTCTTTCCTGCTTCAGTAAAGTACTGCAATAATCAAAAGGCGTACGGGAAATTTGAGGTATGGAATTTTGTGAAGGAAATCCTTGGAGTTGGATATGTTCTTAAATCAATTTTTCCAAGGAAATTCTGACTACTTGAAAACAATTAATCATAGGGAGGCTTCGAGTTATTGACGTTCAACCGTATCCATATTATGAATGCTAAAATGTCAAGTGGTATTACAAATAATTCACTTGTAAAAATAATCCATATTTTCATGTTCTGGAGAAAAAGGTTCAAATTTTGGTCACACGCCGTGAAATCCATTACAAAGAAATATTTGTCCCAGCAGATTATTTTGTGCCTTCTCCCTTTCATCTCTCTGGCTCGTGGACGCGGATTCTGCGTTAAAGTTTCCGAAAATCAATACGCATCATTATTATTTTCTCTCTCTCTCGTCCGAAAGGAATCGCAGACATTCATGTGTGGGTGTGATAGGATCCGATCCGCGGAGATTGCTTCAGAGTAATTTTTTTTTCTCCTTCTTTTCCCTGGAGTGAATCGGCGACGTCGAAGCCAAGAAGAAGGAAAAGGAAAAGACAACAGAAGATGAAGGCATCTGGAGGACGCTCTAGTTGTATTGAAATGGATTCCGAGGAAGAAGAAGAAGAAGGAATCCCTCGTATGACAGGCTTTCAGGGAATCCCGGAACCCCCTTTATTAAGATGGATTCACGGGTTTCAGGGATCGTCGCGAGATCGGGTTTAAAGACAGCGTGTGTTTTTGCGTGTGTGGAGGGGGTTTATTTCCGGCAACCCTGGGATTTTGCCATGTGGAAAGAGAACCTGTTGCTTGTGTGTAGATGTTGAGAGAACCCCAGTGTGTATGTGTCCGTGTGTGTGTGTGTGTGTGGAGGGTGCTGATATGAAAGAACAGACTTTGAGGGGCGACGGGGCATGTTAATTCATGAGAAGGAAGTTCTGTACCCTCTGGGTCCTGTTCTCCAGGCAACCCGCCGAACCCATCTTCTCGGTTCATTTCCTCTGCTGGTGAATTTTGGGCTTTTCTTGGAACTGTTTTCGACATACTGGATATCTTGAAGATAGGTTTTTTTATTCCTGGCGGGTTTGATGATGAGACCTTCCGTTTGTAATTTTTCTACGAAGAATTAAGGACACAAAAAACTGTATCTTCGGCTTCTCGAAAATCATATGAAAGCTGGGAATATTCGAACGTTTGCTTTAGGCTTGAGCTGTTGCTTGAAAGATCTGATTGGTTGAAAAAGTTTAGAAATTCAGTTGTTAAATTACGTTTGTGAAATGTTCAGATTTAATTTAAGGTTGGCTGTTTTTGTGGAATGTTGAGTTTCCAGATGTGGTTTTTATGGTTGTGTGGAACGTTTGAAATTTTTATTTCTGGTCTAAAGTGTTCTTCTGAAGCTTCCATATATTTTTTTTTAAAGTCTTGGATGAGCATTCAGAATTCATTTGTAGTTTCATTAGTTATTCTAAAAAGATTATTTTACCTACTGAGTATGTCTTAATTGATTAAGGTTCTGAAGCTTTTAGAATTTATTTAAATGTTTCGGATGTGCCTTCAGATTTTATTTGATTTTTTGATGGTTCTTTTAAAGCCTTTGGATTTCAGTTGTATTGGTTTTAGTTCCTTTGAAACCTTCAAATTTCAGTTTTATTTTCATTAGTTTTTTTAAGCCTTCAGAGTTCAGTGATGTGTCTTTAAAGAGGTCCTAAAGTTTTAGATTTTGGCGAAATGTTTTTGATGAGCCTTCAGATTTTCTTGGATTTCCAGTATTCTGAATCTTTCAGATTTACATATATTACCTGTATGTCGTGAATTAAGTTTTGAAGCTTTCAGATTTTGGCTGAATGTTTTAGATGATCCTTCAGATTTCAATTTAAATTTTAGTATTTCTTCTGCTGGAGCCTGTAGATCAAAATTGTGGTGCTGGAGTCTTATGAAGATTTCAGATTTCCAGTTTAACTTATATGGTACTGTATGGGGTTTTCCTAATTTTTATCAGTATTTTGCTTTGATACATATCTGATGTGTTCAGATTTTAGTTTGAAATTTCTATTTGCATTTGAAGACTTAGAATGTCACTCGAAAATCGAAGATGTTCCTCTGAAGCCTTTGGATTCTAGTTGAACATCTTGAATGTCCTGAAGCTTTTTACGTGAACCAGCTGAACATTTTAAGTGGTTTTCTCAAGACTTCTGATTATAATGCTTCAGATTTCAGTTTTTATGTCTTGAGTACATGTAGTTTGGGACAAGTGTGGCATTGAATAATGCTCCAGCAATCTTTTTTGTTTTGCTCTTCTTATTTTGTCTCTTTCACCTTGAAATGAGCTTCTGCGTTTTTTCAACTCTTTTACCTTCTAATCTGTACCCTCTGGGTCCTGTTCTCCAGGCAACCCGCCGAACCCATCTTCTCGGTTCATTTCCTCTGCTGGTGAATTTTGGGCTTTTCTTGGAACTGTTTTCGACATACTGGATATCTTGAAGATAGGGTTTTTTATTCCTGGCGGGTTTGATGATGAGACCTTCCGTTTGTAATTTTTCTTCGGAGAATTGAGGAAACAAAAAACTGTATCGTCGGCTTCTCGAAAATGATATGAAGTCTGGGAATACTCGAACGTTTGCTTTAGGCTTGAGCTATTGTTTGAAAGATCTGATTGGTTGAATAAGGTTAGAAATTCAGTTTTGAATTAAGTTTGTGGAATGTTCAGATTTAATTTAAGGTTGGCTGTTTTCGTGGAATGTTGAATTTTTAGATATGGTTTTTATGGTCATGTGGAACGTTTGAAATATTTGTTTCTGGTCTGAAGTATTTTTCTGAAGCTTCCAGATTTTTTTTTCAAGTCTTGGATGAGCATTAAGATTTGATCATTATTTTCAATATTTAATTCTAAAAGTTTTTGATTTCAAGTACAGTGTATGTCTTGAATGAGGTTCTGAAGCTTTCAGATTTCGTTTAAATGTTTCGGATGTGCCTCCAGATGTTATTTGATTTTTTGATGGTTCTTTTAAAGCCTTTGGATTTCAGTTGTACAGTATTGTTTTTAGTTCCTTTTAAGCCTTCAGAATCAGTGATGTGTCTTGAATGTGGTCCTAAAGTTTTAAATTTTGGCGAAATGTTTTTGATGAGCCAAATTTTTGATTTTCATCAGATTTTCTTGGATTTCCAGTATTTCTTCTGAATCTTTCAGATTTACATGGATTACCTGTATGTCGTGAATTAAGTTCTGAAGCTTTCAGATTTTGGCTGAATGCTCTAGATGAGCTTCTTTATTAATTCATATATTCAGTAATTCTGCTGAATCTTTCAGGTTCTTCCCCTGTATGTCTTGAATGAAGTTCTGAGGCATTCAGATTTTGTCTGAATGTTTTAGATGATCCTTCAGATTTCAGTTGCAATTTTAGTAGTTCTTCTGGAGCCTGTAGATCGAAATTGTGGCGCTTGGAGTCTTATGAAGATTTCAGATTTCCAGTTTAACTTATATGGTACTGTATGGGGTTTTCCTAATTTTTATCAGTATTTTGCTTTGATACATATCTGAAGTGTTCAGATTTTAGTTTGAAATTTCTATGTGAATTTGAAGACTTTAAATGTCACTTGAAAATCGAATATGTTCCTCTGAATCCTTTGGATTCTAGTTAAGGATCTTGAATGTTCTGAAGCTTTTTACCTGAACCAGCTGAACATTTTAAGTGGTTTTCTGAAAACTTCTGATGTAAGGCTTCAGATTTCAGTTTTTATGTCTTGAGAACATGTAGTTTGGGACAAGTGTGGCATTGAATAATGCTCCAGCAATCTTTTTTGTTTTGCTCTTCTTATTTTGTCTCTTTCACCTTGAAATGAGCTTCTGCGTTTTTTCAACTCTTTTACCTTCTAANCTGTAGTACTTTGCCCCATTTTTTTTAGATTTATGCTCCTCACGTTTTTTTTTATTAAAATTAGAAGGGGATCAGGGGAAAAATAAAATCTTGCAATAATCATTAAAAAATGTGAGAAGCGGCTTATTAAGACTTTCGCTTGATTTCCTTTTTTTTTTGTTCATGTTCGCAGGAGTGAAAGCAGCAGTGGTGCGTGTCCCTACAGTCGTGAAAGCTGGCGTAGTTGGTGCTGCATTGGGGGCAGCTGCTGTACCTGTCGGAAAAGGCCTCGTTTCCCGCGGCTCCTCAGGTAAATTGGATGTCCGTCAAGCGAACGGAACTTTTATTGGACGCCAGTTTTACCCCCGGAATCTCCTTCTTCTTCTCGCAACCCCCCTCCGACCGTGTCTAAGGAAGTTCGCCATCTGCTCAGCCCCCCCTTGTTTGCATACGTGAAGCACATGAGCAAACTTCAGATTGCTGCTGCTGCGTCTGCTTTTATATAGGAAATGTCCCCCCCCCCCTTTTTTTTGGTAGGGTGAATATATTTTTTATCGCTCTGAACCTAGAAATACCTCTTTTATCAGAAAACCGAAGGGGATGAGGGAAGCGAAGGGGAGTCTGTGTAATCACCTTCATCCATTTAATCCTCTCCCTTTTTGATTTTTTTGTGGGCTTTTTTCTGTTCAAACAAAGCCTGCGTCAGTTTTCATAAGTTCAATGAGTGCTTTGAATTTTTTTTCTTTTGCTAGAAGGATACATTTCGAGGAAGGATCACGATGGAAATTTAAATTTATAGAAAAATAATATGGTGGATAAATCTTATTTTTAAAGGAGGAACTGAAATTTTCTCGGTCTTTTCAGTTTCGACGATTTTCTGCGAAACAAATTAATTTTTTGTAGTCTGTTTAATTTGTAGAGAGTTCAATTTGATGAATTTTATTTTTTCGATCTCCCTTACATTTTTTTGGGGGTGTGTATTCTTTCTCTAAGTTTTTTTTTTGCTCTTTCGCAGGATCAAAAGGCAGGTACATGATTGCAGACAACCGCCAGTCGTCAGATGAAGTTGACGGAGAACCGGTGGTCGAGGATCGTGAGGAAGGAGGTTTGATTTGAAAAAAAAAAAAAAAATCCCCTGGATTTTCTAGATGCTTGTTCTCTGGGCTTTTCTCTTTATTTTTTTTCTTCTCTTTCTGTCCCCCTTTTCATAGCTTCGGATCCTCTCTCACCGTTTTTTTTCCCTTGAGAGGTGAAAAATCCTGTGAGATCCTCATGTGTGTGTGTGTGATCCTCAGCGCGCGAAGGGATCTTTTTCACGCGTGCGTCGCAAGTGTGACGAGGTCGCGGTTCCTGAGGATCCTTGGTTCAGTTCTCGTCGCGACGTTGGTTTGCGTTGTCACACACATGCGTGTGTGTGTGTATGTTCATCTTTGAAAGATTAATTTTTTTTTCGTGTGTCCGTGTGATCTAGTTTTCTACAGGAAAAGAACGAAAATATTTTTTCTTTTTTTTCCTCCCCCAACCACTTGTGAGTTTTTATGTGTAAAAAGTGTCCGGTGTGACGATTGGAAAGGAAACAATTCCGTGAAGGTGAGGAAAAACATGAGAAAGATCTTCTGTGAAGTGTTGGTGTAGAATTGTTGGATTCGTGCACAGTATATTGTAAAAAAAAAGTATTGGTGAAATTTATTTGTTTTTCGGATGTCGGTGGATTCCAGTGATGTCAGTTGCGCAGTATTCTCGTTGTTTTATTGTATTTTCCGCTTGGCATCGAAATTCCTTTCCTGCTTTTTCTTTTTCTGTTTTGGTGGTCAGTAGAAAGTAGTGGGTAGATTTTTCTATGATTTAAGAGCAGTTGCGGGATTTTTAAAATGCCTTATTTATATATTTTTATTTTTGCTTGCATGGAAATTCATGTTTTTTGATGCTGTAATAAGAAAGACTTGTTACGTGAAATTTATAATCAATTGAAAATAAATTTCAGAAGTTTTTTTTATGATTTGTGTAGATCAAGCTTCGGATTTATTATCGATTTTGTGTCGTATTCTTTCTTCTCACATTTTTATTGTGGCATCGGAATTATTTCAGAATAGTGGTTCAAATGCTTGATTTTACCTTTTCCTCATAGTTTTATAGAGTAGATGATTTTAGCTGGTTGAAGTTTTTTTTTTCTTTGTATTTTTATCAATCAAGCTTTGAAACTTGTGTGTTTTCTTCGTTTTTGTTATATCCAAAGGAATGACAGCTTTTGGGATTATCGCCCTGATAATCGGACTCGGGATTATCGGACTACTTGGGTATTGGCTGTTGAGATACTGGTGCGAAATAAGGCCGATTCAGAAGCGACTGAAGCATGATGCGGAAAATCCGTTGCTGAGACAGGACGAGAACGAAAATGTTGTTGCAGGTTTGTTGAATTTAAAAAAAAAAGAAATTCTTCAACAGTATCTCTGTAAAATATTTTTTGAATTTAGGGTTTACAGAGGATAATCTGTGAATTCTTTAAAATTAAAAATGAAATTTAATTCACGTCTATCAGAAATCCCGGGATAAATTCAGAAATCTCGTTTCCTTTCGTGCAATATTTTTCATGTCTGAGGTTTAAAAAAAGATTTTCTAGCAATTTTTAAAAATTAAATCTGAAGTGTATTTCACACGTGTCGGAAATTCCGGGAGAAATTCAGAAATTTCTTCGTCTTTCTGGGGTACAGGAAAACACCGCTACAGAGAATCTCTTGATAAGAAATTTATTGTTTAGAACGAAATGATTTTTGTGGTCCTTCCAGAAATGTTAAAATGTTTTGTAAGGCTCATTTTAACGTATTTTTCATTAAAGCGAAGATCTTTTCATGTCCACGTTGGTTTCAACGTAACAAAATTTGACTGAGCGAAATGAAAATCAGAATGTCGAACGTTTGGGACTTGAGATAAAGTTTGGTTGTCAACGGAAATTCCTTTAAAAAAAATTTTAATGAAATTGTTCAAGGCTCAAAAATTTTTTTTGTCATAATTAATTATTTATCAAGAGATTTGTTGAAACGAGATTCTACTGTGCTGAGAAATTTTCAAGTGTAACCCATGATAGGAAGTGTTTCTTCAAGCTGAAATTGGATATTCTTATTTTGAAAAAGGCAACTGTCTGGAATTTAGAAAATTGAGGACCCGAGAAAAATTATGCATGCGCGATTTTCTTTCCAATTTCAGAACTTTTTAATCTTCTCTCCTCGAAAAAAAAGGAGAGGAAAAAGTTACAAAGGTCAAGTCGAAAGACAAATTGTGTGGCTTGATGTGTTCATTATACAGAATTATGCATCAAGTTATTTCTTCACTCAAGTATACCTTCAAAAGTTCACTTCCTAAACTTTTCTCAATTTGAGCAAAAAATTATGCAATGCTTTCAAAACTTTATCTGAAGTCTGTAGGGTATTTTGAGCTTATTCAAGTGCAAATTGCGGTCGGAATGTTTGAATAGTCTTGAAGCATTTACGAACAACTCGCGAAACGGCTGGTGTTTGCAGTTCATGACTTTAAATTGTCTGTTTAGTGAATAAATTGATGCCAGCGAAGTTCATGATGCAAATGATGACATTTCTTCCTGCTTTCAAGTTGGAGTTCTGAAGTTCTGTTTTTTTTTCTTGAAGAAAATTGAGGTTTTCAAGCTTGATGGGCGTGACATTCTGCTATCGTCGGAGAATTTATTCTCAAATCGCTCACGACTAGCCTTTTTGAGTCGGACGAGAGCAAGAGAAACATTCTGAGTTCACAAAGCTTTAAAATATAGTTCCGATTTTTTTCTCGCCATAAAATTCCGATTAAGCGAATATATTTCCAGTATTTATTAATCGTCTTTTTTTTGTATGCCTTGTAGGAAAGACGAAGGAGCTGGAAGCCGTGCCATTGGTGGCATATTCGCGTCGGACCGTCGCTGGCGACTGCAACGACGACGACGACGACGAGCGTGCGCAAGACATTTCGCCGCCAGAGTCCGTCGGCGACTTCCGTCGCGGGCACAGCAACAGGTCGACCAACGGGTCGCGATGCAGCGACGGAGGCAGCGACCGCGGAAGTGTCGGCGGCGGGGACCAAGACCGCTCCTCGCCCAGCGTCCTCTATCCGTCAATTTGTGCGTTACAATTTGTCTCTTTTTTTTCTTCCTTTCTTTCTTTCTTCGCCGACTAACTCAAAGTCGTCTGAATTATCATTATTTTTTCAATGCAGTAGAGGCTCTTCAAGTCAAGTTGCGTTGGGTTTTCTCATTGAAAAAAAAACCCGTTTTATAAGATTTGAATGACGTTGCTATTACAGTATCACAGGGCCCTAAAAACGAATTCGTTGTTCGCAATACAGTACATTATTCCTTTTCTATGATCCGCTTTAACGAGCTTCGTTAATTTTTGATTCACTGTACCCTTTTTTCTCTCTTCTTCTTCTTCTTCCTCCTTGTCCGAAATTTATTACACCGTTGAGGATTTTCAAATCGAACTTGATCACGTTACATTGGGCTTCTCGAGAAAAAAAAATTTAAATGACAGCCTTGATAAATTATCACATGGGCCTAAAAAATGAATTCGTTGTTGGCCATATTTCTTCTCTACGATATTCGCTTTAACGAGATTCTTATGTGTAATTCACGGATATAACTACAGCATTACTTTTTAAATACTAGGTAGCTCAGATTATTGGCAGGAAATTTTGATTACAATGCATTCGAGTGGGAGCGTTTCTGAGTCAGGAAAACAAGCCATTTTTTTCTTAGGGGTAGAAGAATTAGACGAAGAATTACATTGCAACACTGTATATATAATTTTTTTTATTAATATGCAGTACTGTATATGAAGAATATGTTGTGAATTTAAATTTTCGCAGCTGCCGTGAAGAAAATCGACGAACCGGATCATTCGGACGACGATTTTTTGTACGCGACATCGGCCAGGATCAAGACACCCAACTATGTTGACGAGTTTGTGGGATTCGAACGTGTCAACGACTCAGTTCAGAAAGCCCGCATCGACGCCGCTGTCGAGAATTTCGAGTCGCAAGTTGCCGCCGATGTACCCGTCAGTCTCTTTCTCCCGTTTATCCACAAATTCTTCCTATTTTTCTTTGTTCGTTTTTGTATATTTTCCTTCATTTTTAAACTGCCTCGGGGGTGATGCGGAACGTACTCCATCGAAAAAGGGCAAAATGTCATCCCGCTTTTTTTTTTCTTACGACCAGATGCTCTTTAGTTTATCATGAAGATGGAGAGGAATGAGGAATATGGCGGAATTTGCTGAGATCCCATTTTCGCTTTAATGTGGGATCCATTTTTATTTTTCTTGCGAATTCCTTGGGGAAACGTGCATAAATCTTGATGGCTGCACGGGGAGTTCTTAGTACTGTACTGTGCTCAGATATTCATGGTATCACGCATGTGTGGCAAATGACGGCTCAGAACCAGGAATTCCGGGTACAGGGAAATGAGCTACGGTACTTTGATGGGTGGTCTACGAGCACATTCCACGAAAAAATTGTCCCATTAAATGTCAAAATTCGAGAAAAAATTATTTTTATTTTTTGCCTCTTGTTTTGAAGTCCACATTTGCTAACGCATGTGTCAAGCCATGATTTGAATAGAAGCAAGGTTAGGATATGTTCGTACTGTGATAGCACGTATGGTTTTATTAACTAGGATATTTAATTATGTTGGCGACTTATGATGAAGGCATGGGGTTAGGATTCTTAAGAAACTGAAGGTATTTGGTTATATGTTAGCCTAGGCTTCATTACCTTGTACACTTGATTTTTCCCTTGTTCTGAGTGGGATAATTGTTCTAGATTTTTTTTAACTAGGATAGTTATCAGAGTTGGTTACTTTTTGATGTTGGCATGAAATCAGGATTCTTAGGAAGCTGGAGGCATAAACTTAGGTATTAGGTTAAGCTGACTTATTTAGGTCAGCTGAAGGCATTAAGTTAAGCTGACTTAGCCTCAGGTTAGGTTAATTTTGAGCCTTGGTGAGATAATCATTCACTTTTGTCAACTAGGATAGTTATCAGAGTATTTTAATTTTTTATGTTGGCATGGGATCAGTATCTTTGGAAGCTGGAGGCATAAAGTAAGGTATTGGGTTAAACTGACTTAATTAGGTCAGCTGAAGGTATTAAATTAAGTTGACTTAGCCGGAAGTTAGGTTAATTTTGAAACTTAAGGAGATGATCATTTACTTTTGTCAACTAGGATAGTTATCAGAGTTACTTTTTTATGTTGGCATGGGATCAGGATTCTTCGGAAGCTGGAGGCATGAAGTTAGGCATTGGGTTAAGCTGACTTATTTAGGTAATCTGAAGGCATTAAGTTTGATGTTTGGTTTGGCTGACTTAGCTTCAGGTTAAGTTAATTTTGAGCCTTGGTGTGAGTTCAGTCTTTTCAACTAGGATGGTTATTTGCGTTAGTTACTTATGATGTAGGCATGGGGTTAAGATTCTCAATAAGTGTGAGCAGAGGTTGATCCTCAGCCACCAAAAGAAGAAGCTGAATTTATGAAGCTAGGTATTAAGGCTGACTTAGCTTTGTGTTAGGCTAGTTTTCTCTTGTCATGGTGTGAGTTGGATAATTGTTTAGTTTTGTCAACTAAGTTGTTGGATGTCGTATTTTTCTCAATGGAATTGGTTACTTGTGGACTTAACTTCGACCTAGAAACATTTTCTTGAGCCTGGATTAATTCCAGATTAAGGTTTTGATGAGTTGATGTTATAATTGAAGGAATGTTTTGAAGTCAAGACTACTCTTTTTTTTTTCACTGCATTTCCGCGACCCTCTGGAACATTTCCTACATATTCTTTTCTGTCCCCTACTCCCATTTGATGTTTGATTCCGAATGTATTTCTTGCTTCATCATATTTGCATTTTTTGTTTAGGCTGTGCAACCCGGAAAACCGACAGTGTCGAATGTCCTGGGTTGGAACATAGAAGACGGTGGACGAACTTCTAAGACGTGTTTGATCCCGACAATGTCCTGCGACTCAGAACCGGTCGTCATGTCATCGACGCCATTAATGTCCTCCGCATTTCCCGTCGTCAATGTCGTTCCTGTCGACACATCAAACAATCCTTCAGAAGACGCTGGGAAAGAAGCAGAAAAAGAAAAATGCGCTAAAGAAGCAGAGGCTGATCCTCAGACACCAAAAGAAGAAGACGAAATTTCAGCAGATATTTCAGAGAAAGACATGATCGTCGACATCGACGCCGACGCCGAAGGCGAAGAAGAAGAAGAGCAAGAAAGAAAAGATCCCGAGGGTCAGGAGCGACACTCTCCGTTGGCCACTGAAAAACTCAGCGGAGATAATTTGGAAACTGTCCGCCAGATGTCGTCCACGCTGGACAAACTCGACGAGAGCGTCTCGACCATTGAGAATATCGTCGTCGACGGGAAACAGTGTGTCGTTGACGTCGGTGACGACGCAGAGCACGACTCTTCCACCGACTCTGGAGACTATGACCCTGTCATGCATGACACGGCCACACTGAAGGTTGTCAAGAAACCCGAGCCAACGGAGACTTCCATCTAAAACAACAAGAAGAAAAAAAAAAATTACGGAGTATCCCCAAAAACCGTGAATATTTCTAGGATTTGTGAACGAAATCATTGAAAAAAATCATGTTACAGTTGAGTAATTTGACCAATAAACACTTTTTTTTTCTTAATTATAATTCTTTATATTGAGGCTAAGCTGCTGAAAATTGTCATTGTCTGCGAAGTTTTTTTTATTTTGAAATTCTGCTGTTTTCCTGAAGTACGAGTCCTGCGAAGGTTGAACATTATAAAATTTTGATATAACCGTAATTTTTTTCTTTAAGGAAAAATTCATACTTGTTATACCTTTGAGAAAAATTTGCCTCTCTCTCTCTCTTCTGCCAAATGCTTCTTGAAATGATTTTTTTCAATTTCACCTTTTTAAATTTTACTGTGTCATTTCGTGAGAGAAACTTCAGGATTTTATGTTCACAATTCCTAGAAATATTTATAAAAGTTTTTGAAGGGTTAAATTGTGCGTGAATTACCTTGTAGAAGTGTAATTGTGTAATTCTTGCTTGGGTGTCTCATCTTGAGAGTTCATGGGTTGCATTTTGTTCGGTTTTGGTGGACTAACACCAAATGGGATCCCCTTAGTATGCGGGGCTGAAGATGTCGTTGATTTGAGTGACAGAGGTTTTTGAAACTGAAGCAGTTTCTCTTATAAGTTTCGTTTTGAGGAGGTGTGCAAAACTGACCAAGGTTTTTGACGCTTTTCTGGACCACTCTATTACATTTTGAAAATTCAAGTATTACATCAGGTATTGGTTACGTATCTTTTGCCAATTGGTTGCTTTGAGCCATCGATATTATTTTTGACCTGACGCTTGGGTTCCTGACATATTTTTGTTTGTATTGTATTTTCAGTTTTCGGTTTTGGGGAAGTGGTTTTAGGGGTTCTGATATTGTAATTAGTTGAACCTCCCTGAGTGAAAAAGCGCCCTGAATTGCATTTCCTGTTGATCCTTATTTTTAATTTCCCTTGAGATCAATGCATTTTAAAGCTTGCTCATTCGAAATTTATTGGCTCTAACCTGCTGTAGTAAAATTTCCAAGGGATTTGTGTTATTAACCTCAGGCTAAATTTTAGAGCACCCGTTCCAGGAAACAAAATAAATGTATGCAAATTCCTGCAGATGAAAAATGTTTGAGTAACGAAAATTTTTAATAGAGGGGCGAGAAAATCATCTTTTCTTGATTAAAGCTATAAACACACATGTATTGGGTCATTCTTCCCAAACTCAAAAACTTTTGAAAGTCTAATTTTTCTTCTGGAGTCTCTTTGAATGTTACTTTGAGTGTTTCAGTTGTACTGTAAGTGTTGTACAATGTCAGGATTTACCCATTTGTAAAAATAAAAAATACAGTCATTTATAAAGTTGTTCATGCTAAAACATTTTCATCCCAAGCCAACATTTTTCTTAAATAGAGTTGGACAGCATATGTAGTTGGAGGGGTTCTTGTTTAATTCGAAACCTTTCGACATCTGAGTTCAAATTTCCAACTGTAAATCAGTGAATTTGAATTAGATTTCATGTTTTTTTTACTCATCTCTTGATTTGATTTAGTGCATTCATGGCTTAGTTGATGGGCATTAAATGCACCTCATTGTGTTGCCCTTCAAATAGTTCTCATTTCAAGTTTTATCTCTGAAAAAGTCGTGCTTCAAATGCTTTTTCTTGTCTTTCTGAGTTTTTAGTCTGAAAAAAAGCTTACCTCAATAATGCTAAGAAAAAAATCAACTCGATAATCGAAAAGTACACTAAGCCTTTTCAAAGAATTTTGATGATTGGCAAAGATTCTGTGTCGACAATTTTGGAACTACGGAAGGGGTTGAAGGAGGATTTGCTCAAATCAAAATATTTCGTGCTCGTGTTTACCTGCAAAAAAAAGTGAGAAAATATCTTCCATTCGAATTCCCTGAAACTTTGTGAGGCGCCTTTTATACATTGTTTTTTTTTTGCGAAAAACAAAATCGCTATCCTGAAGCTGGACCTTTATTTTAAAGGCGATTTCAACAACTTGCTCAAGAAACTTTCTGACACTTCGTGACGCTAATTATCGTTATACTTTTTTCAAGAAGAGCAATCTTTTGTAAATGATGCGTTTTTTTTCAGTAGCTTTTGTTTTTGTGCGGAGAAGAAAAATGCCTTGTGTAGTGTTCAAAGAAATGCGGCGACGAAAAGGAAATGTTGGCTGACTTGCGATTGAAAGAAAAGAAACACTTTGAGCTTCCACCGAACTGGATTTGAGTCAAATGTTCCAAATTATTCTTCGCATTCTTTTTTTTATGATGAAGAAAAGGAGAAAACATTTCGTGAGAATTTGAGAATGAGAAAAATATATTGGAAATAATTCTTTTTTTTTGTTTTTTTTTGTGGATAACAGTTCTTGTTTTTTTTTTTTTGTGTATTGAAAACCCCTTTTTCTTGATGAAGATCTTTTTGAATTTTTACAGGTGGGGAAAGAGCAGATGTGAAAAAGAAATGTTGGTGGTCTTAGTGCTAGTGGCTGCTGTGTTACACCTTGCAGATGCCAGAAGAGGATTCTTTGGAGCTGCTGGCAACATCAATCCCAAGAGAACAGGAGAAGAAGGCTAGTTTGTGATTTGATCCATATCTCAGCTGTATATTTTACCACTGCTTTGTGTGGTTCATTAGCCAGGAGCTGGGGGAAATGGGAGTTTATGATGATGATGTTGTTGTTGTTGCCACAGAGGAGGGAAGAAATTACAGTGATCACTTCCAAGTACTGCCCTTCTGGGTGCTTTTTGTGGGATTGGATCTGCTTTCCCTTGGGGAAGTTAAGTTGGGAACTGAGCTGGTCTGAGGAATTGACGTTGGATTAATTATTCAGGCAATAATCTGCTTTGCTTGGGAGCGTATTTGATTGATAACTCACTGCTGGATTCTAATCCCAGTCCTCTGTTGATGGGTTTGATCAATTCCTATGGGTATTATAGCTGCAATCAGTAAATGCAGTACTTTGCCCATATTGAAATTACGGTACAATACTGTACTGTGTAATGTAAAATCGAATTGGTAGCCTATATTTTTGTAAAAGTGAATTGAATGGAACTGAAGGCCCAAATTAGCAAATTACTTTGTGTGTTTCTGCTTGAAAATGTCCTAAACTCAAATTACTGTTCATGAATTATGAAACAAAAATGTACAGGGCAAAAAGTATGCTCAAAATTTGAGTATTTTTAATATATCCTTCAGCTTTATATGAATTACAAATATTTTAGTAGAAGATGAATTAAAGTAAGTAATTAAAGTAACCTTCTTGTCAATTTTCTATTTTTTTCAGAAGTAAAATGTATATCAAGTGAACATAATGACTACAATACGGCACATGAAAATTCAAAACAATTGAAAAAACTGTACAGGTTGCTCCACATGTTTTTTTTCCCTCAGCTAGTTCAGTTATGTCATTGTGGGAAGAAAATTCAATTACTTCTCAGTACTGAATTGTCATGATATTATTGCTGGTCCTTCTTCCTGTATTGATTCTGCTTCTCATTGAGAGGGAAGTTGAAGTACTGTAGTTCGAAAAACTTGCATGTCTTCAATAATTGAGATGTTATTAATTGTTTTTATAATATATTGATTTTCAATTTGCGAATTTTACAAACACCTGCCCATGAGTGTGAAGTTAATTTTGCTGTGAGTTGGGAAGTTAGTCCCTGGCCATTGTTACTTACTTACTTACTTCAGAACGAATTTTTCACTGCGGTGAAGCTCTCATTCTGAATTATTTGTTGGAACTAGGTTTTACTGTGTAACAAATAATTGCTTACATCGAATTCATTTTTAGACCCTGGCCATAGTGTTGTTTCGAATTATTTTCAATAATTGTTTTATGCTCCCAATGTCTTTTTTTGAAACGATATTTCGCTGTTTTTTATTTCAAATTTGGAACCAATGAAAGTTTGAAATGTTGCAAATGTATTTTTTTTAAGTTCTGTGCAATATGAACGTTTTTTCCCGGCCCGTATGATTTTTCTTGTAACGAAATTTTACTGTATCCTATTTAAAGGTGGAACCACTGAAAATGTGAAAATTTGTGTTGTTTAAAACTCTTTTAAAAAATTTCAGGTCCCAATGAATTTATTTTTTACTGTACTCTAATTAAATTTGGAACCATTGAAAGTGTGACATTTTTCAAATAAATTCTGTTTGAATTTCTTTAAACACGCCATAAGTATTTTTTCTGGCCCCACTGACTTCGTTGTAACGAGCTTTTATTGTATTCGATTTAAATTAGGAACCACTGGAAACATGGAAGTTTGCAAATGAATGTTGTTTGAATTTCTTTATGTTGGTTGAATTTCATAAATATTTTTTCTGTGACGAGCTTTTACTGTATTTTATTCAGATTTGGAACTGCTGAGAAGGTGATATTAAAAAAAATTAAACGGTATACAGTACTGTACTGCTCTGAAAATTGTCAAGTTGCTCTTTATTTTTATGGGGCACCAGACGCACTAACGAAGGAAGCTCTTATCCCAGGAAAAGGCAATGGGATTAACTCGATTCGTGTTTTATTTTATTTTATTTGTGCAGAGTACTGGAGCTGGACAGTGATCTGGGCCATTTTGGGCACTGGCCTGGGCCTGCTGGCCGTGGTGGCCATTGCGCTCTACGCGTGCAGAGTGTATAGCGAGAAACGGGAGCGGAAACGTGACCTGCGTCGCTTCGGACCCAACTTCCAGTCCGTCTCTTTGCGACCTCACATTTGAGGAGAAAAAAAGAAACACAAACTCACCCACCAAAAGAAGAAAGACGAAGGAGAAGAAGACGGTGCTTTTTTTTCGGGAGAAGAAATGATTTTTTATGAACTCGTTCCTTTTTTTCTCTCTTTGTTTTTTTCTCTTTCGTTCTTTCTTTCCCTAGGGCTGTGATTGGGATCTCTGAAAACGAAGACAAAGAAGAAGAAGAAAAAGGAGAAGAACAATGCATTTGATGTTAGTTACCCAGATGAGTGTGCTGTATTTATTATGAATGTGAAGACCCGGTGGATCTCTCGTTTGTACAAGTTCGTTTTTCTTGGCTTTATTTTTTCTTTTCCCCCAATTGAGATTGTTACCAAAACACTTTAAATGAAATAGGCTAAAAATGGATGTGATTCCTGCTGATTGTTTGCATGTGGGCAAACCCCCCCCCCCCCCCCCCCCCCCCCCCCCCCNTGCTGTTTGTTTGGAGGTGGGCCCCCCCCCCCCCCCCCCCCCGGGATTTTGCTAATGTGGTTCAGTAAAGAAAATAGATCTCAAATTTTTTGTGAAAAGAAATTTTTTCGCATTTATATTTATTTCTTTACAGAGTTGCAGCCTCGGATTCATCAAAAAGAACTCTTCTGCATTCATTTTGAAAATAATTACTGTCATTACATATGCACTGTATTTTTTTTAGCAAATCTTTGCAAGAGAAAAAAGAGTGCCTTGAAAATTGTATCATACATTGTTGAGAATTTGTGCTTACATGTACAGTATTAATCTGAAATTTAAGGAAAACACACACACTTAGTATGAGAATGAAAATTAACATGTTTTGGTACTTTCCTGTTATTTCAGTACCTACTTTCCTGTTATCTCTGTACCTTCCCTCTGACCAATTTAACCTGACCTAACCTAACTTCACCTAACTGCCTCCCAAAATCAGTTTCAGCAGAATGCAGAAAAATAAAATTCACAGTTTCTGGTAGGTAGCCGTGATTATGAACTCATCCTAAACATTTGACTGGGCGGTAGTGCAGTCTAGGAATGAGGTACTGAGATAACAGGAAAGTACCAATGTTTTCTTATTTTTATCTGTTCACCCTTGTGTAACTTCTACATCTTTCATTGTTCAGCAGGCCTCTCATCATTTCCACTGATTAAGATGCACAATTATTTGTTAATCAAAGTTATGATGAAGTTTCATGGACTTTGTCCAAAATTCATGTTTAAAATTTGTTTGTGTGTGTCTGAAGAAGGGTTGATTATATAACCATAGGAAGAAACATTTAAGCTTTATTGGAAGCTTTGAAAAAAAAAAATTCAATGACGAGCAAACCTCACTCAGGAAGTAGCAGATCAGATTAAAATTTCAAGTATAGAGAATTTAATCATCTCTCACCGGCCTTTGTCTCCTTGGCCATTTCAAGGCCTCTATCCCAACTTGGTGAAACCCATTGATGATCTCTCAAGTTATGACCAGTAAAACCATTATCTTTTGGGCATTGAGGAGAAGCTATTAAAATATTATTAATTGCGGTTTGAAGAGAGAAACAATCAGATATCTTCAATGTCATGATGGCATCAGTTGGTGAACAAGATTTGGATTGACCAGAAGAAACTGCGCCATGAAACCCCATTTGCATGTCAGGCAACAAACTACTCCATCATCACTGATGTAGTCTCAACTTCAAGAGGGTAGAAATAAAAGTGATTGAAGAGGAAATAGCAAGATGGAATGAGTGAAATATTTGAAACAAAATATACTGAACCTCACAGGAAAATAGAAAATAATGTTATGGAAAGATTTCCTTCTTCAAGTAGTGGTAAAGTCTCAGTGCTAGAACAATCTTGTCTATGATTTTCCCTGTACAAAGAAGTTTTTCTGTTTCCCTGAATTTTCTTGTTGGAAGAGTCCACTTATACTTCATTTGTGAAATAGGATGTGCATCATCTCTTAATTCAACTCTGATTTTTTTGGCCAAGCGCATCAAATTCCAAAAATATTATGCTTCCAATTTTAGTAACAAATGCTGGTGCTATAATTTAGCTGATGAAGTGATAATATTTCTCAAATGGGTGTTGAATATTCATCCAGAATACTTGACGTATTGATTCTATAATTACTCATACACCCTGTCGATTTACTTTGAATATACCCTTTTTCTTGAATTTTAAAACTGTTTTGATCTCATTTGTTGTATTGCAACATATGCGCAAAATTCATGATTGTGTAGGTAATTTGGAAGAAAAGGATATTTGATACTTCAGCTTAAAATTGTTTGTCCAGTACTGTATGAGCAGATTCTTCAGTATTTCATTGTTGCTGGGACCATTACAATTTTTTTCAAATATAATTTTTTCAACTTGAATTTGACCTTTTTGTCTATTCAGTAATATGTAATAAATTATTAAAAATTATCTCTCAGCTTTGAAATCCTGTTCACAGCAGTATTTGTGTACAGTGGATTCTTGATGATTGCATTTTGTTATAATGAATTTTTCCTCACAACAAGCTTGTTTTTAGGCCTCTGTCAACAATTTCATTTGAATAATCCATGATAATAAGCTTGTGTTATAATAATAAAAAAATATTTCTATTCATCCCAATCCCTTAAATGGCTTTGCTTGGACAAGATTGCAGTGTAAATAAGGTGCATTCAGTTTTTCAGCCAATATGAAAGCCTTGTGGTTTGTGTAAGAATATAAAAAGTAAGACCATAAACTATTTTTATACACTACAGTATATACTGTATACACATAAATTTTTTTGAACTTTGTGAATGCTCACAATTGGCAAATAAAACTGGTATCAGATCTAAACAAGAAGTTGGCTTTGCCCATCTGTAAAAAAAGTGAAAATTTTATGGCGCATGGATTTTTCAGAAACTTTCTACAGACCATGAGGCAATTTATTGCTTAAAATTGTTTGTCCAGTACTGTATGAGCAGATTCTTCAGTATTTCATTGTTGCTGGGACCATTACAATTTTTTTCAAATATAATTTTTTCAACTTGAATTTGACCTTTTTGTCTATTCAGTAATATGTAATAAATTATTAAAAATTATCTCTCAGCTTTGAAATCCTGTTCACAGCAGTATTTGTGTACAGTGGATTCTTGATGATTGCATTTTGTTATAATGAATTTTAAGCTTGTTTTTAGGCCTCTGTCAACAATTTCATTTGAATACTTCATGATAATAAGCTTGTGTTATAATAATAAAAAAATATTTATATTTTTCCCAATCCCCTAAATGGCTTTGCTTAGACAAGATTTCAGTGTAAATAAGGTGCATTCAGTTTTTCAGCCAATATGAAAGCCTTGTGGTTTGTGTAAGAATATAAAAAGTAAGACCATAAACTATTTTTATACACTATATACTGTATATGCATACATACAGTATTTTCGAACTTTGTGAATGCTGACAATTGGCAAATAAAACTGGTATCAGATCTAAACAAGAAGTTGGCTTTGCCCATCTGTAAAAAAAGTGAAAATTTTATGGCGCATGGATTTTTCAGAAACTTTCTACAGACCATGAGGCAATTTATACAAGTCACACATTCACCCCATAGGATAAAAAAAAATAGAGATACAAATTTTAGTCCTTGGATTAGCAGAATAAGAGACCAGGATTATCAATACTGTGACAGGATGCAGACTTGTTCATGCCTGCCAGCAATATGCAGATGCATTTCCCAATGAATAATTCATCAGGGCTCTGATTAAGCCCTCCCTTTTGATCACACACACACACACATTTCACAAAAGTCTCCTCTGGTCTTCTTGGGCGGTGTCTTGCTTGAAGCTATATACAGTATTCCCCAGCATATGCTCCAGCAGAGCTTTCCACATAAAAATGCATATCCTCTCTGATCCTGTCCCCAATCATCCCCAACAATTAATCTAGATGACCATGCAGGCATGCAGACAGACACCCTGTACATATTCAAGAGAGTGAGAGTTTTTATGTATTGCGCAGTTGGTGCATAACCAGTTCCTTTCCCCCCCCCCCCCCCCCCCCTCCAATAAGTTACATAACCCCAGCAGCAGCTCTTTTCTACTGCAGGCAAGCCAAGAGGACGAGAGGCCAAATGAGAAAGTTGCGTAATTTTATTTTCCCCCCTTATATTTTTCTTCCTGATGTGAGCGCAATGATGTATCCTTTCCCGAACAGGACACGTCACATTTTTTCCGGGGCGGGAAAAAAATAAAAAAATAAATCGGAACCCATTCACCCCGGATGTCGTGGCAGTGGGAAATTAGGAGAGACGTTGTAACGTGAGGGATTTTATTGATTGAAAGTCTTTTTTTTTCTGGTTTGGTGTGTATAGATGTTGGTTTATAACGAGGGATGATCGGATCAGAGTTGTTGGATAATCAGACGAAGGCATCCTGGTTGTCCTTGATCCGCGTTGCATTCCCGCGCGCTGGAGTTTTTTTATGATGTCGAAGGGGCCTCGGGTTGCGGCTTGGTTGCTCCCTTGGGTTTTTTGGATTAGTTGGGTTGAGGGAACCTGTCCGGGCAGAAGAAGAACCAGAAAGGAGGGTTTAAGTTTGTCAACCCTAGTGTTATTTTCGAGTGATGTGTGTGTGTGTGTGTGTGTGTGTGTGTGTGTGTCTTGGTACATTCTTGGAAAGTTATCCCACTTCTATGATTTATGGATATTTTTGGTGAACTCAATTTATTGAAAAAAAAATTGATAATGAATTTTTTTATTAATGCAGTTTTGTGAAATGTTTGAAGATGTGGGCAGCATGATGTCCAAGAGCAGAGTCACAGAGCACATCTGCTTTGGAAAAAAAAATTAAGAATTTTCATTGGTTTTATGTGGTGTGAATTAATTATTTTGATGCATATTTATACTGTATCAGTGTTTCCTTAAACTGGACTTTGACTATATTTTTTCATTGGTTTTGTGGAGTGTGAATTGCTTATTGTGATGCAGAATTCCATATTTTTTCAAATTTTTATTATACTGTCTCAGTTTTTCCTTAAACTGGACTTTTACTATTTTTTTCATTGGTTTTGTGAAGTGCTTATTGTGATGCAGAATTCCTTATTTTTTCAAGTTTTATTATTCTGTATCAGTTTTTCCTTGAACTGGACTTGGACTGAATTTCTTCATTGGTTTTGTGAATTGCTTATTGTGATTCAGAATTCCATTTTTTTAAAGTTTTATTGTACTGTTTCAGTTTTTCCTTGAACTGGACTTGGAATATAACATGAAAGTTATTGATAAATATAAAAAAAAGGTTATCATATCAATATAAAACCAGACCAAAACAGCATTTTAATCTGCTGAGCATATTTTGTCCAAGAGCAGAGGCACAGAGCTGTTATGATTGGAAAATGACAATATCCATTTTTTTATTTTGTATATTCCTGATTATTGTTATGCAGAATCTCAATTTGGTGGTTTTGTTATAATTTATCAGCTCCCACAGAATTATTAATGAAGAAGTAATAGGGTGTGAAATAGAAGTATTTTAGCAAGTGGATTTTTTATTGTGATCTTATTTTTGGGGCTTGCTTTATCAGCATTTATTCAGGCTTTTGGAAATCTTTCTCTGTTTTTATATTGAAGTACAGTATTTGTGTTTGAATTATAATATTCACTCCAAATTATCAATGGGCAGAGTAATAATTATTGCCATCAGAATAAAGTTCCATTCAGGATATAAAAATGTACAGAGAAATCCTGGAGCATAGTCACTCACAGAGCTTTTTTAGAGAGTGATGATAAACTTATTTCTTGGAATTTTTTTATGTAAATACTTGACTAAAAGTGTAGGAATCATATTCTGATCATGTGATTGATTTTATTGTCATTTGACTGTGGAAGCACTGTTTTTTATTTTATTTTTTCAAAGTTTCCCATTGTGTGTTTCATTTTCAAAGACATCACAAACATCTACAGTATTTCATTTTACCAGGTGATAGTTTTTTTTATTTCCTTTGCTCCAAAAAGGGGTTCAGAGAACCCCAAAAGTTGGTGTATACAGGAGTATATATCCATCTCCTCCCCCTTTCCCCCCCCCCAGGCATTATTAGTTTCTGACCAATCAGAAGTTGGGAAGGTATGGGAATGAATACAAACAGGCAAGTGTGACAAAAGTTTGTCTTGGTGGAACCAAGAACGTATTTACATTCTGGGAATGACCCCCTTGTCTCTCTTTGTGTGTGTGTATATGTGTGAAAGTATATTATAGCAGCTCAGGAAGTTCCAGATCCATTGAGCTGCTTTTGTGTCAGGCAAGAACATGCATGATTAACTTGAAAACTTGAGCTTTCTCTCATCTTCCTCCTCTGGAGATGCATCTTGACTTGGTTACTTCTGAGACTATGTCCACATGTCAGAATGTCCACATATGGTCACATCTTTTCAAAAAATCCATTGGGAACATATCCAATAACCCCCTTTTGTCTGGAGAATCACACCTTTTTGACATGAAAAAGAAAAAAAATCAAAGAACAAGCACAAGTAATGTTATACTTTTTTAAAATTCCATGGAAAGAGAAGCACACAATCAACCCATTTGAATTAAGCAATTGTAGTAAATTTACAATAATATTAATTTTGACTTGACAGTAGCTCAATTTGTTTTGGAGATATCAACATTTTTAAATTAATGTGTTTTTCACTGTTTTGAAAATGTTAGCAGTGTACATATCTTGGCAAATATTTTAAAAATATTATGGGGCACATTTTGTTTTGGTATAGCAAGTGTTTATATTGTGTTCTTGATAATGTTTTTGCAGGCCATGATTTCATTGTTCTCTTTGTGCTTTCCATGCATTGCAGAGATTGATGAAGAAAGTGAAGAAGAGTCTGGGTGATGAGACAAGCCTCAGCAGGTTGTCCCCATCAACCCCAGGCAAATATGATCATGAAATCTTTGCCAGAGCCCAAGCTGGTGACTTGCCAGCAGTCCAGTCCTTGTTCCACTCTGGCAATTTTGATCCTGGCAATGCAGACTGGATAGACAGACTGGTGCTTTGTGCTGCCAAGTATGACTGGCCTGACTTTTTGGCCAATGACCTGGCCCAGGCCCCTGGTTTCCGTCCAACCAGGCTGAAATCTGCATTCAGAAGGGCCTGTGCTTATGGGAGTCTTGGTGTGCTCACCAGGTTGCTTGATGGAGATGATGAAGGTTAGTGAACATGTCTTCTGGATATGTATTTCAAAAAATGAAAATAAACTTGACTCATCTGTATAATAATTTTTTTTTGCAAATTAATCCCAGATGAATTCAAATAAAGTTGTATTCATCATTGTCATAGATATTATTTTAGATCTACACAAACTGTTGAGTCAATTTATGGGGTAATCATTACAATTTTAGTGACAAACTTTGTCATAAACATACAAGTTAATATGAATACATCAGGTTACGTTGAAGCTCAATCAATTCAAAAGTGTCTAAGTGGTGTAACACCTGCAGCATAAATACATTAGTTTGTGCAACACCAGAGCACCTTCTCTTCTTATGTCCACTATTTCATACTGATAGAAACAAGCTTAAGATAGATCTACAAGTACTGGAATTCAATGAAGAGACCCTTTCTGAACTCGTAAATGATCAAGATAAACTGTTGGCTTTTATATGATTTCTCATCCAAGATTCTCTGTAATTTGTTCATTCAACTAAACCTCATACAGAAACAAGCTGAAGACCTTGCGCTTTAAATTAATTTTTTACATATATTTTGTTACCAATGTCATGAACGCTGAAAAGCGGCAAATAAAGTGTTCTGTTCATTCATTCATTCAATCAATTCAACAAAATCAAAAGCCAGATACATTTTCCCTTTTATGTATCTCAACAAATTCCTGCCTTGGACCTGTGATCTGAAAAATAAGTTGTAGTACATGCTTGGATGGTTTTCTGAGAAAATCTTCAAGTTGAGAGTTCTTGGAAAAAATACATTGTGATCCAAAACTGAGTTTTTTCATAATCTGGTGAGAAGAACAATAATATAGTTACCAATCATGGAAGGTCATATCAAACAAAAGGTCACCTTCAGAAGCCAACAATTTTGTATCATGAATTTCTGACTGGGTTCACTCATCTCAAGTTTGAGTCTCACCACAATCTTCAAGCACACAAAAGAAAAGAAGTTTCACATTTGCTCCTGAATGAATGAGGAACCATGACTATAGATGTCACTTCTTGGACTAAATCATACATTTATGTACATTTCCATGTGCAGGCTTTGGTCCAAGGGTGGATTGGAGAGATGTAGGCAGTGATGGAAAAACTGGCTTGCACATTGCCTGCCATCATGGGAGGCACTTGATTGTGGAGGAGTTTCTGGCTAGATGGCGCTGCTCTGACTATGAGGGCTTCCTTGAAGCTGAGGATGTTAGCAAGGCAACAGCCTTGGTGCTGGCCACAACAGCAGGAGCCACTGAGTGTGTGACAGCACTTTTGATGGCTGGTGCCATGGTGACAACCCAGGCTGGGAAATCAGTTGTTGACATTGCTGTTCTGCACAATTTGCCTGATTTGGCTGATCTTCTGGTGAGTCCTGACTCATGTACCACCTGCATGTTGACAAAATCTTGGTATGAAAACTATAGTGCTGTGCACTGGCTTGAACCAAATTCCAAATGAATGCCCTTATGGAATGCATAACAGGTTAATTGAATATATCAAAAAATTGCAGCAAGGGCACACTTGTGGGAACCAATATGATTTTCAAACCATTTTATTCATGCTGAGGAGAATTTGTGATGAAAGTGTCATTATTGCAAATTTACAATCCCATGAGGGGCAAGAAAATGTTTTGAAAATCATTGTAATTTTCTGACAGAAAGCATTTGAAGCCTCCAAGAAGCCTCAAGTGACCCTGGCAAAGCTAGCATTTGATGAGTCATGGGACACCTTGAGCAGCTGGTGCAGGTTTTCAGAAGCAGAAAGGTTCTCTGATCTCTTCCAAGATGGCTCTGCTTTCTACTGGGCTTTGATGAGAGGCAATCTGTCTGCAGCTTCCAGAATTGGCTTCCATCATGTGAGGATATACTGTTTTTATTTTTAAAAAGACAAATAATTGACCAACTTTTCATTTTTTTTAAACAAGGGAGAAACAATGAGAAAACAGGGTGTTTCTTGGGAAGCACACATTGTGGACTTACTCATGTCAGATGCTCTGAGAGCCATGGAAGATGGTGTCAATTGTGGAGATGTCCTTGCAGAAGTCTTGGTGAATTTTTCAATTTTATGATGGGTGGCCCAAACCATTTCTGGATGAACAAAATGTAAATTTGGATTTAAATTCAAATAATCCTATTACTTACAAAATAAATATAGGTAAAACTGATAGATTTTATTCAACCTTCTTTAAATTTTCTAAACATTTCTAAAGAACTTTTTTTTTCAAAGGGACAAATTTATATCTACAGGATTTTGAATGTCCAAATTTCCATATATTTTAGTTTTTTTTTAATATTGCTGCTTTAAAATTGTTTCAAAATTTCTGAGCCATCCTGGAAAATTTCCAATGTATCTGATACTGAAAATGCTTTTCTATGATTTTCTATAATCCATGACAGGAAAAATTGTTTGTCCCAGTGTTGGAAGATACTGAAACTCAAGACCTATCAAGGTTTACCCTTGAATGGACCCAGTTGATAACTGCCATTTTGAATGGAGGTGCTCAGTGGGCATCCATTTGCAGCATTTTGGGCTCTGCAACAATTGCATTGCCTCAAATGTGCTATGGGTTCCTCAGAGTCCTGGTGAGTGAATGAGGGAAAAACCATTAGTCTCTTTGCACAATAATTCATTAACTGCTTTATTGGCAGCCATCTTGTATGCCAAGTGTGGCCAACACAGAGATATTCAAGAAGGATTTCATCACCTTGGTTATCAACTGTATCAGTTTTGACAGGCAAAGGAGTGAGTGCAAAAGATTTGGGGATGTGTTGGCCCTGACAGACAAACTCATTCAAAGAGGGGACAGTGAACTTTCTAGACAAATCTTTCAATTCCTGGTTAGTCACACAAAATATATCACCATTAAAAGCATGAATTTATGTAATTTTTTTTAAACTCTCATTTTCAGCTGCAATCATCCTTCATTCTGAGACTTGGCTGGTATCCAGAGTGTCTCCCATTGATTCAAAAGTTTGCTAACCATGCACAGCATCTGTGGGACCTGGAACTGATTCTGGATACTGAAGGGAAGACATCTTTGGCCAGCTTTCTAGCAGAATTTGAAGCAGCAAGGAATGAAAAAGGGAAACATTTGTTTGACCTCCTCTTGGAGACTGACAACAGTTTTGAAGCTGTCTCTGCTTTGATGCCTCTAGGATGTCAGCCATCATCAAAGACCATTTCTTGCCCTGACCCCAGGGTTCAAGACCTGATCAAGAGGGCAAGGTTCTTTGAGGTTTGTAGCAATTATTCCACCAAGGATTTTGGGGTCCATAGCCTCAAAGAACAATTATATGTGGCAAAATCAATCAGACCCTCACTTAGTGGTCTTAATTGGAAGGAAAGTCCTGCTTCAAAGAACCCTTTGAATCCATTATTCTAGGATGCTGGAGAAAGGCTGCCAAGTGTTGCAGAAATGGCAAAGGACCAGCAAGCTCCAGTTCTTTTGAACCTGTTGAGGAGAACAAATTCCCCTTTGACTGCACAAGATGTTGGCTGCATCAAATTCCTTGGCAAGACTGCTCATGATTGGTGCATCCAGAATCACCATGATAACATTGTCAAAGAAATGCATTTTTTCTTGGTAAGAAAGCCTTCAAGAAAGTATCTCCCTGTACCTAAAAAAATGCAGTATATCATACCATTCTAATCAAGTAGCCAACTGAGAGTAAAAAGACTTTTTCAGCTGTAAATGTGTTACAGTGATACATCTTTCTTTACTCCAATCAGGGATGCTTCTTTACATAATAATTATGTTTAAATTGAAAGAAGCATCATGTGCTCAATTTTTGGATAACTTATTGATGACACTAAAATTCTTGAATTTATTTATTAAATTATTTATTATTTATTGAATTTATTTATCATTTATTCATTTTTTACTCTGGTGAAATTTAATTTGTCTATTAAGGAGGAAAAACATGAGCAAATGTAAGCTTTACTGGGTTCTCAGAGAATCTTCCAGCTGCTGAAAAATCAGTCATTATGAAAAACAATAATTTTCATCTGCACATTCCCTCCAAAGATGTTCATCATCAGAGTAAATACTTTCTGAACTTGTTTTACCCAAAGGATATGTTATATAAAATTTTTGGTGTGATTTTATGGAACAAGTGGTTTGTCAGAAAAATGTATCACTGTAAAGAAGTCTTGATAAGGTTTGATTTTTTCTTTTCAGGTGCCCATCATCAGACAAGCCCTGGATGAAAACAATGTAAAGACCTTGTCAGCTCTGTTGTCAGAACTGAGCTCAGTAGCCTTCACATTGAACCTTGGGTCAAGTAACATTGTTCAAATGGTGATGAGACCTGAGTACAAGTTCCCACCAGTGAGGAAAACTGTTTTAGGTATCCTTGAGGCCACTCATCCAGCCATTTTCCAGGACCTTTTAGACTCAACCACCATGACAGATATTTTGTTGCTAGAGGACGCCTCTGTCACTCAGAAATTCCTCAACAATTCAGTCAAGTTTGCCTTTGACTCTTGCACAGTTTCTTTGCCTGTGAACAAGTGGGAAGTGGGGAAGAAGGCCAGGGAAAAATACTATTGTGAACTGGGATCAGGGAAAGTGAACCATGGATTTGAGGTCTCACAGATTTCCATCTTGGATTCCACATTTGGAGACGTCAATCAACTGGTGCATCAAAAGGATGATCATTTGGGCCATGGTCTCCTTCAAGTGCTGGTGGAGGGCCTGAAGAAAAAGAGGAAGTTTGTGATGGAGAACCTATTGTTGCATCCTGCAGTGTCATCTTGGTGCCAGGTCAACTGGAACACCTACAAACCCCTGCACAATAGGTTCATGATGTTCAGCCTGCTTCACTTCCTATTGACATGCTTTTTTGTGTGCCATTTTTGTTCTGTGGGGGGACTGGACCACTTTCCAGCACTCTGCACACTCTGGGGCTTCATTTTGGCAGCATCTGCCCTCAGGGCACTCTGGGAAGTTGACACTTGGGTCCTGCTCAGCTCCAAACTCTATTTCCACCAGCTGGAAAGCTATTTCAACATTGCCTGGATTCTGTTGCCACCTGTATGTGGGGTGCCCTTTGGGAAAATGATCCCTGGACTGGAACAAGTGCAGATGGGGTTCTTGGTTTTTGCGCCCTTCATTGGATCTGTGGTCCTGGTTGGTGCTTGTGGCAGCAGGACCTCTGGAAAGCCAGTGTTCATGCTGCTAAAAACACTGGATGAGACCAGGAAGCTGTACACTTACTTAGTCCCTATTGTTGGTCTCCTCATAAGCTCTGTGGCACTCCATGGTGCTCTTTCCACCACTGTATCAACACTGGCTGGGAGTCTGCTGGGGACTCTGGACCTGGACACACACTTTGTGGCAGCAGTTGGACCCATCATGCTGATAGTGTCAATCATCTTTTTGAAAGTGATCATGCTGAGCATAGTCATTGGGATAGCATCCAGGATAGTGTCCACAGTGGACATGGAGTATGAGTCCCTCAGGAATGAGAAAAGGGTCTACTTCATGCTGCAAGCAACCTCCAGAAGATGCGCTTCATCTAATTTCTACCAGCGATTGCTGATTGGGAAACCTGTGCAAGAAAAGCACATTTGCAACAGCACCTTCTTGTTGACCTCTGAGCCTAAAGATGCCAGTGAAAACATATCCACAATTTACAGCTTTCAGAAATTTGTGAAGAAACTGAAAGATGATGGTCCTCAAAGTAATAATGAATCCTCCTGGCAAAGTAAACTGGAGGACTTGTCTTCCTTGCATCACATGGACTCAAAGAAGATCCAAGAAGATCTGAAGCAGCTCAAATCATTGATTTCTGAGCTTTCAGCAACCATGGATCAACACAAATATAAATGAGAAATCAAGTGCAATGCTATTTTGTGTGCCATGAAGTGAATGCCTGTGTTCCTGTTATATGTCAAAAATGTTTCATTGGTGAAGGAAAACAAAAAAAGTTTTTTGTTGAAATTTTGAAACTTTATTGACACAAGGATCAAGCCCTGAGATCACCATGATCTCCAGGATGCTGGACAACTTCTGAAATGTTTTGAGAATGACTCCTCATTTGCTGTTCCTCCCTGACCACATCATCATAAGCCGGAGGTGCAAACAGTGGTCTTACAATGATGGTCTTGTTGAAAGGGCTTTCAGCATTGTGGTCATTGGTTCCACTTTCCAGCATGTCTGTCCTGGTGGATCTACAGTTGAGAGCCCTTCCAGGGCTTGATCCCTGGCTTGGTTGCTTGCTGCCACAGGTCATACTGAGGCACTGACAAGATAAAAAGAAAGATGCATCTGAATGGCAGTACCTATTTAGATTTTAGAAATTGGGGATATTGCAATACCTTTTGAAGAACCACAAGATACATGGCAACCCAGCCAGCAGAATACATAGCATAGGATACCATTTTTGCAATGTTCAACCATTGGCTGTCATCATGGGATGGGAGACTTCCTGAAGCACTCTGTAGAGAAAATGGGAATGAGTAGTATGACTCTCTTGGAAACCTCCATGTTCCATCATATGATTTGTTGCCCAAATTATTTAATGTATGTTAAATTATCTTAAAATCTTGTTGAATGTTTTATAATCCTTTCTTTGAACCTTTTGAATGCAAGCATGTGGCAAGTATAGAGCTTGTTTATCTCTCTTTAAGTCTCACTGTGATGATGAAATTAATGTGTTTTTTCACAGCTGGTTTGAAGGTCCAGCAGGTATCTTGAAATTGAAACAAATTGGATGAAGTTGTATATACATCACCTGAAACAAATCCACAAAGTTGTGAAGGCACTTGAGGGGGATCCTTTGTGTCCTGAACCTTGCATCCACTGCCCAAACACACAAAACCTCATAGAATACATAAAACAACATGCAAGGTGTCAGCATCAGCCATGGCAGGAAATCCACAGCTTTTCTGTGCAAAAGGAAAAACACGCAGCATATAGCATGTTATCATTATACCATTTATAAGTGAGCATTGCACATATATAATTAGGTGGATGTTGTCAAAATTCTGAGAAATATTGTTTCTATTGATTAAGCACTACATGAAAACATTTTTGTTAGGTTTTATGCATATTACCTGTTATATGCTTTATATAGGGATTTAAACAGGTGAGGTTTGGGATCATAACATCTTATTCATATGTATAACATATTCATATGTATAACATATTTATATGTATAACATATTTATATGTACAACATATTCCTATGTATAACATATTCCTATGTATAACATATTCATATGTATAACATATTCATATGTATAAAATATTCCTATGTATAACATATTCCTATGTATAACATATTCATATGTATAACATATTCATATGTATAAAATATTCCTATGTATAAAACATTCCTATGTATAACATATCCATATGTATAACATATTCATATGTACCATTACATCCATATTAGTCATAAATCTTATAAGATCCACATAATTGATGAATATCATATGATCCATATTATTCATAAATATCATAGTACCCATATTTTCCATAGTATTCATAAATATCATAAAACCCATATTTTCCATAACACCCATATTATCCAAAGCATTCCTATTATCCAGCATAGCATCCATATATTTAATATGAAGAACATTCCCCACATTGTGCCTAGATATACCATTCATAGGAACATCCAATGAAGCCAACAAAATACACAATGATATTAAAGTGCCTCACTCCTAATTATATATTAGAACTGACAGGGATGACATTATTGACAAACCTTCTCTTGACCCCCACAAGCAACATGCAGGAGGCAATCACTTGGGTGAGCAACATGAGGTCAGACCAAGGAGGTGTGCAAGCAAGGCATTCTTCCATCTGGAAAAAAATGGAAGCCCATGGTGTATAGAAAGGAGCACAAAAAAAATAAATACTGTTTATATAAACACACTTCATCTTGCAAATGTTTGGCTACATCAGCTGAGTAGGTTGTCCAGGAAGTAGCAAAGGCCCTCAGGAGAGCATCAGTGAAGGATAACCCAGCACAAATGGTGACCACAACATCCCTCCTCTTTGAAGAAGGGTCTGGCTGGTGATCTGTATTGGGCATCCTGGCCAGAACCAATGGCCTTGGAACCATGTTGAAATTTCTGCTGTGAGAGATTAAATGTATGGTTAAGCCTTAGGGTACAGATTAAAGAATCATTTCCAACATTTCTTGTTACAATAATTTTTATTGATTCTCAGAGATACTGTCAGAGGCACAGCAATAACAGAGTTGGTGAAGGTTCACACTTCCTCCTATTAATATAACTCCTGAAATTGATCTGACTGTCTCACAAAAATGTAGTATTACAGTATTTCACTGGGTTTTTATGGAAAGCCTGAAAATGTTTTCCAATTCATGGTTTCTCTCCTTCCTGATGTGATTCTGCATGGAATGCTGTCCTTTATTTGACCTTTTAGGGCATTTCAATACTGGTTGCACAAGTACCAATGGCTCAACAGCTCTGTACTCTTTGGGAATAAAATGTCTGCTGTGAAGGGATCTTTTTCTTCTGACTCCTGGTGTTGTGGCATCTGCTATCAGCTTCTTCTTCTTCTTCTTCCTCAGGAGCCTGGTGTAAATGTTTGGGGACTTTGAGAACATTATTAGACCAAAAGATGAAAATAATTTTTTTTGTTACCTATTAGAATAGTTCTTGAAGTTTTTGAGGCTTGTTTTACCTCCAAAAATCTGTTCTCTTTCAACTGCCCTTTTTCTTCTTTGTCCTGGCACTGGAGCAAGTTCAGGGAACAGCCAAGAAGCTGGGTCATGTGCTATGGACAGTTGAGCTGCCCTGAGATGATCCTCCTCCCAGGGTTCAACTGCATACATGATAAACAACAAATCCTGCTTCAAAAAAAATGCACACACTTTGGTAACTTGTGATTGATTGAATGTTAATAACCATGAGATTTGAAATGCTGTGGGTCAAGTTTGGGATAATTGCTCAGGACTCTTGGGTCAAATGGTGTCCTCAGCAGGGGTTTTGGCTGTTCAAAGGGACTTGGTAACTCCATGGAGAACCTTGGGTTGTAGATGTCCCTCTTCCTCACTTTTTGCCCTGATATTTCAGTTGATTTTGGAGCAGATGTCACTGCCAGAGAAGCTGGTGTTGTAGAAATGTTTTCTTGGAGTTTCACAGTGACATTTTTCACATCAGAGATCCCTGCTGGTGGGATCTGAGTAGTTGGACTTGAGTAACTAGTAGTAATTGTTTCTTGCTGAACAGTGGAATTTTGTGTTGTTGTTTCTGATGTTGATGAGATGAATGTGAAGGTGGTATTCACTGTCACTGCCTGAGTTGCTATTGTAATATTTGTTCCATTTTTGATCACATCTGGATGAGAGAAAAAAAAAATATTTCCATCACCAGATTGAGCACAAATAAAAATGAATCAGTACCTGCAGCATCAGCAAAAAAGGGATGACACAGGAAATTAAAGACAAAGAACACCAGCAGGTTGCACATGGTGCAAAATTGCCCACCCTTTTGAGTCTCAAAATTGGCAAGACTTTGGACTTGCAAAGCTGCATGTTGGATGAAGCTCTATATAGATTTGTTTAAAGGGCTTCATTAAAGGGTGGGAAAAGGGTGAAGGGTTCATATATCAGAAGGAGTTATTTTGGCAAGAAAACCATGAAGGAGTTTGAGCAGGCTACCTGATGTCATTTGGTTTTCAGCAAAGGACTGGCTCAAAGTTCTTAGATCTGCTGTATAAACTCTCATAAGGCAAACTTTTTTCTCAAGGTTTTTCTATCCAACTTTTAATTCTCACTCCTGATAGAGCCTGGGACCCAGGAAATGACTGGAGTCTCTCAGGTTGCCAGCATGGGAAGAAATCTCATCAGTGCTGAAGAGCAAAAAGAACCCAGACTTCTTTTCCTGTTGGCCCAACAAAGGGTTACTGAGTTCCTCTTCTTTTGGGGAGCTTCTCCCTGTACATATCAACCATGAAGCTTCTATTTCTGGTGCTTGTGTTAGTGTTGGTGTATAATTTGGAGATTGATCAAGCCCAGGGAACCCTGCTTGGCAAAGCCCTGTATGAGGCTGAGTATGCTGGTGAAAGAGGCAAAATGGCTGCTGACCCCATGAAGATCAGACCCAGAGCAGGTAAGGAAAACTGTCTTCCTTTTCCCCAAAAAAAGGTGTTAAACACAAACTTATCACCATTTCTTCACATCACCAAGACCACAAGATGAAAAAGGAGAAGAGGAAGAAGAGGGAGCAGAAGAAGGAGGTTGGTGAGGAGAAGAAATTAAAGGCCATGTCCAAGTTGCTGACAAAGATCCATGACACCTCTGCAAAGAAGGGTGGCATTAAGTCAAAGAAAAAGAGTGACAGAAAGAAGAGGTTTTTTGCTTTGCCAGTATGCACCAGGAAACATTTGCCTCAGCATGGACCTGGACTGGGAGTGTGTCCCAAACATGTGGTGAAACTTTAATGTGAGGAAATAAAGTCAATAAGTCTGAAGGATTATTTTTTATTTGCTTGCTTATTATTATAGAAAAGGAAAAGAATCAGTCACTTTTGATGGACTCCAGGGAGTGTGGAAGCTTTTCCTCCAGCTTCTTCAAGTCCTTTCTGAGTTGGTCCAAGTGGCCCCAGAGCCTGGGGAACTCTTTCTTGACTACCTCTATGTTGTGACTTTCCTTGTCAGTCTCCTTTTTCAGCTCATCAGCACTGTTGTCCAGCTTGGAGGCCACTGTGTCCACTTTGGCCTTGATGCGCAGGATCTCAGACTCCACCAGGTCCCTGAAGGCTAGGAAGTCACTTTCCATGGCCTTGTGTTTGATGTCCCCAGCATTGGCAGTGATTTTTGCTTTGACCTTCACAAACTGGGCCAGCTCTTGCAGCTTCTGACTGGCACTTTCTTGGAGTGATTTCAGGCCTGCTGCCTGGTTGCTTATTGCTTTGCCCAATTGGCCAAAGCGGTCTTCAAAGTCCAGCTTCAGTTTTGTCAAGTCCTCTTTCACCTATGTTGGAAAATTTCCAAGTCATGCTCAACTGATATTTTGCAGCAAAAATATGTTGCTCAAATGTGTCATCCTCACAGTTCAACAAAATTATGAATATTTTAATCTATGGAGGAAAATTTTCACCTGGCACCATTTTTCAAAACTCATACAGCAGTGGGTATACATATGTAATATGACTAGTGGTAAACAACATTGGGTGCTGGTGGAAAAAAGTGAAAAAAGAAAAAAGGGAACAGAAGAGGTCCTCATACATTCTCATGGCTCCAATGCAGACTGGCATTCAGAGCTGCCACTTGAGTCTTCACTGCTGTATCCCTAGATGGCCTCATTTCATGCTGCACAAAAAATCAACATAGTCATTAAAAGTGTTTCTGTCTTTGTCAATTTTTTCTCACTTACTGCTGAAGATGGGTTTCCATCTATAAATTTCTTAAAAGGCTGTAGGGCACCATCCACCAAAGCAAGTATCTTGTACTTGATTGGATCAATCTGCACAAAATGGATGATGAGTGAAATTTGAAAGACTGGATATGGAATTTTTAAAAGTAGAATGAGACAGGGTTCTCACCATTATCTCAATGAGTTCCTTGTCTCCCCTTTCCTTGGCAATGTCCAGGGCAGACTTGTGCTCTTTGTTCCTTCTGTAAGGATCAGCCATTCCCTCAAGCATGAGGATGATGGTGGCCTCTTTGTGGCCATTGTTGGCTGCATAGTGCAATGGCAGCCAGGACTCTACATCAGGTGGCAACACTGGACCAAACTGAAGACCTCCTGCTTCTTGCTTCCACAGCTGGAGCAGGTAGGAAAGCATTCTATATGGATACAATAAAATTTAACTTTGTATTCAAACAAAACATATCAGCTTCTAATATGTTGAACATGTTTTGTTTTGCTTAGGAACATGTTTGAATTTTATTCATACTATGGCAACATTGGTGAGTTGTATTTTTCATAAATATAAAGGGTATTAGGTAATGGTACCTCTGCTAAAGGCCTAAAAGAGTTTTTACAGTACAATGAAGAGACACCACTCTTAGGAAAGACTCACCTGTGATGGTCCTCTCTAGCAGCAAAGTGAGCACATGTCATACCATTGTCATTCCCTTCTTTCCATTTTGGGTAGCCCAGGTCTTCTATGTAGTACCTGACCACTTCCATGCTTCCACCACAGCAGGCAGATAAATAGGGGGACCTGTTGTCCCACTGGTTCTTCACTTCAGGAGACACTCCCTTCTCTTTCACCAGTCTCTTCAACAGGGGCAACCAGTTATTGTAGGCTGCATAGTGAGCCAATGTACCCTCAGTGCCTCCATCATCAAATGTTGGACTGGTGAACCTGGCCAGCAGTTCATTCACACCAGACAGGTTCCTTGCTTTGGCCAGTCTAAGAATCTCATGTTGGACTTCTTCTGGTGCTGGATTCTGTCCTTTGGACTCTGGAAAATGTCACACTCATGGGCATCATTGAATAATAGTGATGCAGTTTTCCCTATACAACTATACAAACTTCATTCCTTTCAATGAGTTTAACAGGTTTGATCATGAAATTTGAATCTTAAATATGTTCAATTATAGGTTTGATTGAGGCTGAAGTTATGCCTGAAACAAACTATACCAGTTTAGTAAATTGTAATCTGTGTCATACAATAGTTTGGAATGGAAATATTGAAGAATGAAATCCACATTCACATTTTAACAAACCAATGGGTGACTTCCATTTGGTTTCTAACACTATTCAAGATTAAAATTTCCACATATTGGTAAAAACGAAACATTTTTTTTACAAATGCAGAACTTTCTGAATTTAATGTTTTTAATAGTAACTTATTCTTATTACTTATATTTTGTTTTTGCCATCAGGGGAGGGAAGAAAGTTTATGTGTTTACATCAGTTGTGTACTTGTACATTTTGGGATGTACGGTACAGTCAACCCCCATCTAACGGACTTGATTTGTGCAAGGGATGAGTCTGTTAGACAAAAAGTCCTTTACACAAATTCAATTACATAAAAAATTGAAATAATCCCTTACACGGGAGGTCTGTTAGGCGGGGGGCCACTGCATTTTATTTTCTTTCAATAATGATATATAGCTTATTTCTCTGTTTTCCATTCTGATGTGATGGAATGTGTTTGGATGAATGTGGGTGGGGTTTGAACATGGGAACATTGCTTGAACCTTGTGAATGCTGAAAAGTGGAAAATAAATAAGCTTGCTGCTCAATTCAATTCAATATAGTAACTGTAGTTTTAGATATTATTGATGTTGTGTGGCACTGACCAATGAGAACTGCTTGGGCATCATCTCTTGATTGAGGCTCAATGACTTGTGATGGCTTCAGCTCAGCTTGCCTGATGTGATGAAGACTTTGAATGTCATCTTCATCAAGAGTTGCCTGTTCCAACTTGGCAACCAACTCTGCCACAGACTCAGGGTTCTCACAGTTTGAAAGAGTCACCAAGAAAGCCACAAACAGTGTAATCAGCAGCATTGTGCTTTATTTGCACTCAGTGATGGCAGATCAACTAAAAGTTTTCTACACTCTGGATCAAGTGCTGGGGGGATCAACAGATTTCCTGGCAAAAAGGCAGGATGTTCTCTTGGGAAAAGTTTCCATGAGACCTTAGGCCTTTTTATCTGACATCTTGGTCATTATCTGCCTTGGTTTCCTTGGGAGTCTTTTTGCCTGCTGTGGGTGAGGGCTTCTGTTGGTGGCTCTTTTCTTTGGTTTTCTCAGCAGGCTGGTTACAGCAGCAGTCCTCTGTCTTGATGCTTCTGATGTCACACCTTCATTCTTCTGGAGAGCATCATTCACATTAAAGATAATCTTCCTTAAACTCTTGATATTAAAAAATATATATATATGTTAACAACAAACCTGAAATTGTTTGCCAGAAGCATTCTGAATGACCTGCTGTATCTTGAATGTGAGGGGATCCTCCTGAAACATAAAACATTATCAAATCTTATTCTAGGTGGTATTTTTTAATGTTTTTTCTTCAAGCAGCTCACCAACAAAGAAACCAGTTCATTGTTCTTCTTTTTGGCAGCTGCATCAACAGCATTTTCCCCATTTTTACCAAGGAAATACTGATTGTCTCCAGCTTCCAAAAGGAGAACCAGTGCTGCTTCTTGGTGGCCATTGTCAGCTGCATAATGAACTGGAGTCCAGGAGAGGTCTTTGTCAGGCTGAATCAGTTGCCTTCTAAAATCATCAGCAAGCCCCATTTGTTTGTTCTTTTTGACCATGAAGGAAATCACTTCACTGTGTCCTGTCTTGGCTGCAAGGTGGGCACATGTCTGTCCTGGAGAAATATTTGAATCTTTCATGGACTTGAATTTATGTTACAGTGTTTACTTTAATTGAAAATGCTCCTTAAGTATTGAAGTACACTCTGTACAATGATCAAGCACCATTATGATAGAATGCCTAACCTTAGAAACCTTGTCTTAGACTAAGAAAAAAGAAAAAAGTTCAATTCTGATGGACTATAAGACAGGAATATTTTGATAAATATCAAAAGGACAAAAATCATCTCTTTATAAGCAGCCAGAATATATGACTCTCAGTAAAATTTTCACAGCAATTCAAATCTTTTTTTTTTTTGGCAAACAGCCTTCTATATAGATGTTCTATCAAAACAAAAGGGAAAACATAAGGTAAAAGCCTTGGGAATGAGGAAAGCTTTTCTAATTTTTTGCATTGGTGTAGTTTTCAGCAATTCAAAGCTATTTTGCAAATAGCCTTTTGGATATTCTATCAAAACAAAAGTCTTGGTAAAAAGAAATATTTTCTGTTTTGAGGTATTGGTTTAGTTTGGTCAAAGAGCCAGAAGATTCACCTTTTGAGTTTTCAGTGGCATCCAGAAGGTAGACCATTTGTTGGGCACAGAATTTGACTGCATCCAGTTTTCCAGATTGACAGGCCAGGAGCAAAGGGGTGCTGTTGTCAAATGAATTTTTGAGATTCAGGACATTGGTGTCTCTATGTGCCACTAGATCCAAGATGTCTAGCCAGCCATGAAAGGCAGCATAGTGTGCAATGGTGCCCTGTGGTGAGTGGTCATCAGCTTCCAGGTCTGTCACATTTCCCAGCAACTGAAGCAAGCTGACCTTATCTTGGCTTTCTGCCCAGGCCAATGCCTCTTGTGCTGTTCAGGATGGTTGGAAATATGATACAATTGAGCTCCATGAATTATATGATGCATCACTTTGGTTTCTTGAAATTTAGAATTTAAGAAAATTATCATTGATATGAACAGATGGTTAAATTTGACTTTCTATGCATAAAAAGAGAATACTGAAGTCATGGACTTGGTTCATATTTTAAGACATTTTTCTACTTTGAATATATATATACTTCTGGTCTTGATTGGTTGATATTTGAACTTGGACAGTTGATTCATCCTCCCAATGTTGGAAAAATGTCTGGATAGTTTAAAATATCAGGACTTTTAATCAAAGTCAGCTTGAGAAAATCCACATATAATGTATCCAAAAAAATATTTTCCAATTTTTGAAAAAATAACCATCAGTTACATTTGTAGGTCAAGGGTTATATTTCAGGGCATTTTACAAAAGATGTTTGCAATACTGTCTTATATGGATCAAAATTTCTACTTCAGTGCAATTTGGTACAAAGGGAACATACAGATGTTGGACCAATTATCAGGAAATCATCTCATTCCTAAAATTAAACCAACTAAACATTTTTGATATAAAATATAAAATTTTATCAAAGTCAATTGAATGAAGGAGGAATGAAAATTTCAGTTGGGCTTGAGTTTAAATTTCCAGCATTCCCACTTTCAGGAATGATGTGGCTTGAAATTATCCCTATAATTTCTTTGTCCACACATAATTTCTTTGTTTTTGTTATGCAGTATTGGAAACATTTGCCCTATGCTCACCAAAGGTATCTGAAGTATCAGCTAGTTTCTTGGCATTTTTCAGCTGCTGAGGCACTTTGGCAAACCTCACTCCAGGGCCAACAGTGTTGGAGAACAAGGCAGCAATGAGATCCTCACTGCTTTTCTGGGTACTACTTTCCATTTCCACCCCCAAGGGATCTCCTGGTTTATTAGTAACATTAGTTTCATTTTCAGAGTCTACTGCAGAGTGCACTTCTTTGATGACCCCTGTGGCCGCTGCCATATTAGCTAGAGCACCAAAACACAAAAACACAGAGCTGGACCACATTTTTTCTTGCCTGCCAGCAGCAGCTTTGCAGGGAACTGAGTGATAAGACTTGGTCTCCCAACTTTTCACCAAAGGTAGTGTGAGAAAATTCCCTGGTCATTATCAAACTGAGAAAGGTCAGTTCTTGAGAGCCAGTGACATCTAGATAACTCAAGACCAGAAGTAGATTTAACCTTTTGTTCTCTTCTTCTTGGGGATGGGGTATATGTCTTTTCAGGTGATCTAAATGCAAATGTGCATATAGAATAAAAAAAAACGCTCATTTTCATGCAATGATTGACCAAGTCCAATCACAAGTTTATTCTGTCTTCCAGGATGAAATTTGAGGCACACAGTAAACATGCTGGGTTCAGGACTGTGGTTTAGGTGATGCAGTGGTTGATTTGTTTGTTGACACCTGTGGAGTGTTTGCTTGGTTCACAGCAAGAGTAACTGTTGTGTTCAAGCTTGGCACTGCTGTGCCATTTCCTGTGCTACTGGCAACACTCACAGAGTCCACACTTCTCTTCACTGGAGGCTCCAATACATCTCTATATAAGCAAAGAAAGGTAGATAATATAAAAAGTGAACAATCCATGTGTTCCAACTTCCAAGAAATACTGCACCAGACACGAGTTCTTCATTTTTTCTAGTATTGTATATAAATATTGTATATTTGTTGATTCTGAGACATTTTCCTGTGTGCAAAGGTTGATGTAGCCTGAACTTATGATGAGTAGCTTGAATGTGAAAAATCAGAAAAATTGGTCTTTCATGTGACAAGATGTGAAATTAAAGTCATATACATCCCCTTGAAGTATAGCATTTTTGTTTTCTCTTCAGAAACAGTCAGGAAAAGCAAGGTCATGTATTTGACTGTTCTGAAGATAAATACACCAGACTCATTGTGAATTTGGCAAACCCTTGGACTTCCAAAATGAACTAGCATTTTTTTTCAAAAAATTCTAAAATTGAGTACAGCAGATATTTTCAAAAAAGGTTTTGTGAAGATATTTGTGAAGCCATGTCCATGAATTTTCATTTCATTTTTCAGTTTGGATTGAATTTATTGAGTTCGTTTGTAAAAAAAAAAATTTATCACAGAGCTCAGCAAAATATTTTAAAATTTTCATTCCAAGGATTTGAAAAAAGAAAAAAAAAAGATACCTGTGCATGTTCATGGAGCCAAAGCCCTGGAAATTGCGTATGTCCCTCTTCACCACTGGTTCAACAGGTGGCACCACAACTGAAGGCACTGAGCGACGCCTGCGGCTGCCACCACCAGGGGGCACTGCATGACTGGGCATCATAGCAGGGGCACCTCCAGGTTCCAGACCAGCTGCATTTTCCCCCTCTGGTCCTGCACTTGCCAAGGCTTCTTTCAACTTGAGAATCTCTTCTCTGAGTGCTGTTATTGCCTGTAAATATGGTTGAATAAGAAATAAATTATGATTATGTCCAATCATTTTTTTTTAGGTTGAGTAAACTACCTTTTCCCTGGCTTTCCTCTCAGACCCAAGACTGGCTTCAATCAAGCTGGTGATTTTGAACTTGAGTGGGTCATGCTGAAAAATAAACCAGAAGACTGTAAATTGGCACTCTTCATCTTTCAAATAAGTCAATTCACCCACCATGATGTCCACAAGAGCCTTGTCCCCCCTGGCCCTTGCCAAATCAATGGCACTTTGCATTCTGAACCCTCTCTTGTAAGGATTAGCACCAGCCTCCAGGAGCAAAATTATGGCACACTCAGAATGTCCATTGTTGGCAGCATAATGCAAGGGTGTCCACTTGAGTTTCCTGTCCACTTTATGACTCTGTGCTGACAATGGAATGTCTGCCAACTTGTTCAACTCTTTTTTTAAAGGAAGAAGTTGACATTTATGTTTGAAAGTATGCCAAACTTGGGGGAAGGATTTTTTTTTCATTACCAATCATGTAGGACAGGACTTCAGGGTGACCCTCTCTGGCTGCAAAATGTGAACATGTGAGTCCATTCTCATTTGCAGCTGACCATTCAGCCTTTTTCAGGCTTTTTATGCAATATTTCACAGAGTCCAAACGACCTCCTCTGCATGCAGACAGCAAAGGTGTGCGCTTGTCATAACTGTGCAGAAAAAGTTATATTAGCCATAAAATCAAAAATGCATGTGGATGATTCATCTTGTAATTCTTATGAAATATTAATGCTTACATTGATTCAAGGGCTAGAGAGTGCTTACTGATGCTGATTTAAAGCAGGTTTTTAGATTCATGATTTAAAGAAATTTCTTCAAGAGGAACACATTTATACCAGCAAAGAATAATAGCTTTTTATGAGAACTATTGAACTAAACTCTTGTTAATTATTTCAGTGCTGTCACCATTTTACATTGGGAAGCCATTTGTTTCAGTTGAAGAAATTATTGAAGATTCCAATTGTTTTACACAACATGAAGCACAAGAAAAGAAAAGACAATAATTTAGAAATCTATGAATATCCTGATTTGAAAAAAAATATTTCTACTGTGAATATGCATATATAACATCAACTTCCCAGAATGAAGATCTTGTTCAAATGCTTTTCATTACTCATAGATTTGGAGTCAACTGTTTTTTGGTTGGCACTGAGAGGTGGTGTATTTCCAACACAGCAATTAAAGATAAAAATCAGACAATAATCCACTGTGATATTATAAAAAAATATGAAAATTCTAGTGGTTCAAGACTGAATGTACTTGACAAATAATAATTGCTAAAAATATTCAAATGGTCAAGAAGATGAAATTTAAAGTTGCCAAAAGAAATATCATTCAAATATCTGAAAACCTTCATCTTGAATATACAGAAGAGCTCAGATATAGCTGGCATATACAGTCTTAGGCAAGTTATTTTCTATCAATGAGCAACTCATAAATGACTGAAACTTTATTTTCTCTCTCAGCCAGCAATTTATTTATTTATAAAAACAGGCTTGGAATTTTTCCTTTTTTTTCAAATGTATACTCACTTGTTCTCCAGGACAGGACTTAAGCCCTTTTGCTTGATGATGATATCCATCAAATTGGTCCATCCATGGAAAGCTGCATAGTGAAGCAGGGTTCCTTCACTGGTTCCATCATCAAAGTCAAAGAACTTGATGTTTGGCACTGTTTTCATCACCATAGCCAAGTTCTTGCCCTTGGCATACTCAAGTGCTGCCTTCTCTGAAAAAAATGTCCTGACTTATATTGAATAGGGCAAGGATTTATCCTGAAGCAAAGGTTTGGAGTGGAAAGTGTTTTCAAGTGTCTTGGAGTCTCAAAGACAATGCAGAAATGTAACAATTTCATGTTTTTCAAAATTAAATAACCATGCCTTATTATGTTTCTCACAAATGATGGATCCAGGTTTCAGTCTTTTTAAATATATAAATCCTTTTATTAGAACTTATGGCTTTTTTCAAGTTTTGAAATGATCAATGAGTAATAGTGATTATACAAAATATCAGGAATGTTTGTGCTATACATTCCGGAATATTTATTTTAAAACTGAATAATTTGCATAACTGTATTTTGATGACACAATCTGATTACCAGAAAGGAACACATATGTTGACCACACACCACCCAGGAAAACCATTTGTGAATATAATGCATGCATTCAAAAATTGCATGTAAAATACATGTCCTATACTTTGTATCATCAGAATGTTCTTTTTAGAAATTTTCTACAGGCACATGCAGTTGACACAAACTGGGTGTGTCCAATTTGCTCATGTTCCCAAAGGATTGGAAGATGACACAAAAAGGATTGAGTATAAGCACTTCAAAACATTGGTGCAGCATGTCAGAAAAATAAATTGGTATGACATGTCCAGAAACATCCAGAGGGGACATGTTGATGGCACAGAATGGGATGCACCAGCTTTGCATTCAAGTATAATGCTAAAGAATTGCATGCCCCAAAATAATGAGTCTATTTCTGTTGTGTCATTTTCATAGTACAATGGTGATGGATTTGGACATGTGAATATAAAAATCTGAAGGACATGTACTTGACATGGAATGGTTTTCCTGTGAAAAATACAAAAATTTTATGCATCATGGGCTGTTGGATATTTCATCTTCCACAGCCTTTCCTCCAGTTTATAATGATCAAAAGCTGAGGACAAAACAAAATTGTTACTGCTATTTTGTGCCAAATTTCTTTTGAAATATGGACACATGATGTCACTTCTGGTCACAATAACCCTCACCAATAACCTTATTGGGATGCAATGCTATTCTGAAGCCTGAGAGAAAGCACTTATTGTATATTGCCCACACACATGACTCACTCACCAGCCTCAAAATCATAGTTGGAAGGTGGGACTTGTCTGAGGCCAGGTTTCTTAGTGTCAATCACAGGCTGAGGGGTGCTGAGGACAGCAGCAGCTCCTGCAGAATTGTCAACACTGTCCTGAGTGTTTACCATGAGAGAGGGTGATGTCAGAATTTGGACAAGCAGGAAAGCAGCAGCCACTGAAGCCAGAGCCATGTTGTAAAATGGCCTGGCAACAAATAAAAAGGAAAAATTTAAAGGGAAACAGCGAGAGGAAAGAGGAAGCCAGAGGCTTGCGAAAAAGCGTTTTCGGCTTCCGGGTCTGGGCTGATAACCGAGTTTACTTTTTGCTTCCAGGTGGACTCGCTCCAGTTTCCTGCCCACTGAAAAATGTGTTATTCCTTTCCCATCAGCAGTTTTATACCAGCACTGACTTCCAGTTCCACCCCCTCATCCTCCTGTATTTCCTCATACTGTATTTATATATAGAGCTACACAGGCTGATAAGAAGCGACACCTGGGGAACAAGTGCAGCTACTCTCAGCTGCAAGGCTCCTCAGAGCTTCCCCAGATGTCACCTCTCAGTCTCATAGACAGGAGAAAAATTGTCATGCATATAATAGATTTATTCCACCAATTCAAACCCAGAGCATTGATTGATCTTGGAATTTCTTGGAAAAGGAAAATTTCAAGATCACATGATTCAAGCATCCTTTTGAAGTTTTTCACGCTTTTTCTTCAACTTTGCAAGATGGACCATTTGGTTTTTAATGTCCTCAGCTGTAGCTTTGATAGACCTCATCATTTCAGATGGCACTTTTCCCATGTATGGGTCATCCATGTTATTGTCAAGTGCATGTGTGAATTCACTTGGTGTGTGTTCATCATCAGCAAAGTCTTCTATTGTTGTTCTTGTTGTGCTGGGTTCATGTTGGGTGCTGCTGGATAAAGCATTCAGGGTGGTGTCCAGAAGTGCAGACAATTGGGCAATGGTGATATTTCCAGAAGACTTGCTTTGGTTGTTTTGGGTTGTGCTGGTGTTGATGTGCTGTTCATTTTGAGGAGAGGTCTGTTGTTGGATTGGTGATTGGAGTTCAGAGTTATTTTTAGATGATGTGGTTTTCAGGGCAGCAGTGGTTAATGACTTGCCAGCAGCAGGAGGTTCTACTGGTTCAAGGGATGGTGTACCATCATCAGGAAGTGTAGTTGAAGTGGTACCATTAGTGAGGTTACTTGGAGGTGCACCATTAGGTACAATAGTTGAAAGGGAGCCATTAGTGGCCTTGGGTGATGGTGTTTTCACAGGGGTGGCCATTGTTGGTTGAGATGGAACACTTGAGTTCACTGCTGGTGGAGCTCTGTGCAAATCCCCAGGGCCTCCCAAATAATTTGAAGGGAACCTATTGGAGTTTTCCTTGGATTGTGTCTCTATCTGTTGCCTGATTTTATCTTTCATATTGTGGAATGCCATGACAGCTTCATGCACTCTTTCCCTTTGAGCAGTGTTGTAGGGATTGAAGAGTTTGACCAAGCGCTGTTTGACAGGATTTGATATTGAGTGATCAGCATCATTGTTGTTGGGCAATTCTTCAGTGGCTTCCCTCTTCTCCCTGGGATTCTGTTTGCAGTTGATTTGCTCTATGGCATCCAGAAGAGCAGTGAAATCTAGTTTCTCTTGCATGGTGTCATGCTTGTCTGCCTCTGGGTCCTTAAAAAACCCATTGGCCTTGTTGTGGTTTTTCATTTTGCCAAATGCCACTGACAGCAGCTCATGTGGTGACATCTGGCATGACACCTTGGGACTCCTTCTTCCTGCCAGATGCACTGGGGTTTTCATGGTTGCATAAGAGTACCTGATGAGGAGTTCACAGAGAATGATTCTTTGTAAGTACAGGTATTTCATACTGACTCTTATTCATTCATTTATGAATGAATGAATGAACAGAAAACTTTATTTGCCGCTTTTCAGCGTTCAAAAGGCACAACCAAGACTCCCGCATCTAACAATTTAGAGAGAATCTTTGAAGAGAAATCATATAAGGCCAAAAATGTATCTTGATCCTTCAAGATTTCAGAAAGTGTTGCTTCATTGAATTTCAGTAATTTTAAATCTTTCTTAAGCTGATTTCTATCCATTTCAAATGCTGGACATAAGAAGAGAAGGTGCTCTGGTGATGCACAAACTAATGTATTCATGCTGCAAATACATTAGTTTGTGCATTCATCTATTGATTATATCATATAATCATATAGTTTGTGTATATCATATAGTTTGTGCATTCATCTATTGATTATATCATATAATCAACAGATGAATGCACAAACTAATGTATTTGCAGCATAAATACATTAGTTTGTGCATCACCAGAGCACCTTCTCTTCTTATGTCCAGCATTTGAAATGGATAGAAATCAGCTTAAGAAAGATTTAAAATTACTGAAATTCAATGAAGCGACACTTTCTGAAATCTTGAAGG